GCGGCGCGCAAAAAATCCCGGAGACTATTTATTGCACGCTTAATCCCGGCCGTTCCGCCGGCACTCTGTATTGATTTTGCCTGTGTCCACTCCTCGAGGATTCTCTGTCGGCGCTCGAATCGCTCGGAATTTGAGCGACCGACTCGCCGGCAACCCTCTTCGCGTTCCACGCGAGACACCCGTTACGCACCTATTATTTATCCCTCGGAAGTCCTTCTCGCGAGCCATTGGCGATTTTCATAGATCGTCGACGAACCGCGCGACGGATCCTTAAGCGGAACGCCCGTCGATCGTCCACATGCGACAGCTGTGCACGAATTTCTTTCTTTTCATTGAGGTATTTTGGCAAATTAAACGAGGACATTATACATATAAATTTATATATATATGTACAGGGTGTCCCAAAAATGTCTCGCAATCCGAAAGTGGCGGGTTCCTCGGGTCATTCGAAGCAACTTTTTCCTTTACAAAAATTTTCTCCGAGGCACCGTTAACGAGTTATTAACGAAAAACAGTGACCAATGAGAGGCGAGCTTGGCTGGCGCGAGGCGACCGAGCCAATGAGCGGAACTGGGCTTCGCGCGCTGGGTTGGCTGGGCCGCCTCGCTTCAGCCGCACTCGATTCTTATTGGTCACTGTTTTTCGTTAATAACTCGTTAACGGTGCCTCGGAGAACATTTTTGTAAAGGAAGAAGTTGCTTCAAATGATCTGAGGAACCCGCCATTTCCGGATTATACATACATATTTATATTATTTTTAAGTATATGTATATGTAACGATGCGATATAGAGAGTAAGAGAGAGAGAGAGAGAGAGAGAGAGAGAGAGAGAGAAACAGTGTAGCATATTATAATAAATATATAGTAGATACAATAATATCAAAGTAACATTATTGTATATATTAATATTTTTATTTCTATTTATTATTGTACCCGTACGACGGCTACCCAAAATCTCCGTTCTTTTTTACCTCATTTCTTGTAACAACGGGTTTTGCCCTGTTCGCACGAACAAAAATCATCGTCATCATCATTACCATTATTATCTTTCGGACAGTGTGAACTCTTGATTAACGAATGCATCAGCGGTCCACGGAAAGTCGCAAATTGAGCCTCCTAATATTTGGTACACGGCAGGGTGATGTCCGATATCGGCTTTCAATATCGCGGACCTCCATTCCGCAATATCATTGACGTTCCCCCCCTGCCCCCTCGGGCCGCGGGAAACAATAGAGAAATTTCGTTTTCCGAAAACGTGAAGATAAATAAAGAAACGGCGCGCACGTGAAAGCAAAAATATATTCATGGTTTACCGAGGGAATTAAGAGTGATGCATCCCGCGGCAACGGCGCGCGCGTGCGCGCACACACACGCCCGCAGACGTCCCGATATTTTCGATAACGGCGCATAACTTTTTATCGGCAGGATATATCGCGTAAACGTTCGACGTATCAACGGATACGGATAGCAGCCCCTGCCGCTGGTGTCGATGATCCACGCGGTACGAAATTTTCGTGCACGGTGTCCATTTGATTTCCACGCGACGCGGCGAGCGCGGACCCGGAATCGATGATTAAAAGAAGAAGAGCAACGAGGACGTTGCGACGGTGGGTCGAGGGGCGAAGGGGGGAGGGGCCGGGGAAAGGGATCCGAGGGAAACTCAAAAGGATTTGAGCTGCACGTAAGATCTTGTGTCATCGTCAAAGGAGCCTCTCGGACGGTTCATTTAAAAGCTTCCCTGAAATTCTTACGAGCACTAAAAGCGCTGTTTTTTCGACGCGGATATACTGTGGGGGGACTTTATCTGGAACACGCGCGATCTCCGTCGCGGCTCAAAGATGTATTAGGTTCGGGGAACGCATTAGCTTCACGGCGCAATAAATAGCACTCTTTCGCCGTTCGCTCAAAGTCGTGCCGGATCCGTTCGAGCGTCGTCCGCCGGTGCGGCTCGCGCGCGTTTCGCGTGCCGTTAGCTTACGCGCGGAATTAATAGACGTCGCATCAAAGCGAGCCGGCGCTTCTTCTTTCGATTAATTCACTTTAGCTCGCCGATAAGGCGGAGTTCAACCGGCAAAACGGAGTATCGGTCCCATTGCCGGTTATATCGCGAAACGGGAGGAGACATCGACGTCATGAATTTTTCATCCAGCGAATTCGGAATTGGGCAGCGGAGCCGGTTACTGCGGCCTGGCCAATTTGCGGTCGACTTGTTTCTGAACGTAATTAATATATATACTATATATATTATTATATTTATATTATATTATATTATATTATATTATATTATATTATATTATATTATATTATATTATATTATATTATATTATATTATATATATTATATATATATTATTATTATTATTATTATTATTATATATCATTATATGTAATGATGCGATATAGAGAGTAAGAAATAGTGTAGTATATATGTATAGTAAATATATACAATACAAAAAATATAATAAATATATATAATACAAAAAGCATAATGCACATGTGTAATACAAAAAAATATGATAAATATCTACAGTACAGAAAATATAACAAATACGTATAATACGGGAAATATAATAAATACAAATAATACAGGAATTATAATGAATACAAAATTATCAGGCACACAAGTAACACCGTTGTTAGAATAAGAATGCATAGAAAAGGATAAATAAAAAATTCGAAGAGCAAGCGAAACAATGGCGAAGTGTCCTGAAGCTGGCTATGATCTCTGAGAATAATTAAGAAAAAGTCGTGAACGCGAGATCTGTCAGGATTGTAAAAAAATGGATGAGAATTCGTGAGAATGGATGCGATTTCGTTCGCAAATATAGTAATGTCTCTCTAATTGACGCCCAGATTGACCACAAAAATGGACAATTTGGGAAAAGGAGATACGATTATTCGAGCCCTGCGGTTTATTTTCACAGTTATAAATTGTCCGCAATTGTAAAAATGAGGTGCAAGGCTCGAATAATCGTATCTCCCCTTGCATTTACCCATTAATTATTCATTATTTATTATTATTTTTATTATTTTTATTATTATTATTAAGTATTCATTATTATCCATTTATTACATATTAATTATTCCAATTATCAATTTTAGTGGACAATCTGAGCGTCAGTAAGGGAGACATTACCGTATCGCGAATTTTCCCGCGAACGCGTTTCATTTAAAGCAACGATTTCATCGCGATGTTCATAAAAATAAAATAAAATCCTCGTTGTTCTAGAATAATTCTGTAACACACCACGGAGTACTTAAAGACTCCGTGCACGAAATATATTCTCGACGCATTAAAAACTGTTCGAGTAATTCGTTAACATTTCGCCGGCGGCGGGCACGAAGCGCTAACAAGTCGGGACAGAAAATCACGGGGGAGGGAGGTAAACACGCGGGATACAGGAATATCGTTCGATGAAAACCGGGCTCGCGTTTCATACGAGCTGGTTTCGAACGGCGAAACTAAAAAATTGCGGGCCCGCGGAACGGAATAAAGAGGCGCGCGGTTCGATCGGCGCCGAATCGAATAAAAGAACCGTTCGCGGATCGGCCGCGCGGCGCAGCCTCCTCCGCCTCGTTTGCCGCTTTCCGATTTTAATTAAACAAATTAACGATCTCGTTAAAACGAGCAACGCGTGGATCACGGTTGCGCGATAATTTATATCGCTCGTTTCGCGAAAGATTCGCAGGGAACGTCGCGGGGCACGGCGGACATTTAACCCTTTGCACTCGAAGCCGCTTCAACTGTGAATCTAAAAGAATTCTTCTGCCTTACAGTATTTCCATTTTATGTAACAAAGTGCATTTTATGTAATATGAAACTGAGTCTCGCGATTCATACAACAGTTACGGTTTTTAGTGATTTTCAAACGATCTGAACTTTGATAATAGAAAAATGATCTTGGAAGGGGATACAACAATCTCTCTCTCTCTCTCTCTCTCAGTGGTGCCTCAGAGTCGCCGCTCGAGTGCAAAGGGTTAAAACTCGGCGGCGAGGCGCGCGCCGCGCCGTTTCTTTCGACGAAACGAAAATCACATCGGTGGGATTTTCAATCCGGCCGGGGTTTAATCGACGTCAGGATGGTAACAAACGCGTTCGCCCGACCGACCGGAACGACGCGGAAAAATAAATTAATGAACTTCGATGTGTTGCGTCGCCGTTGTTCATCTTGCGTGTCCTGTGCTCGCGCGCGCGCGAGCGCGATGCAGAAGCGTCGCGTTCTGGGATAATAATTGCGATTTACGGTCCGGCGGTCGCAGCCACGCCATCGACGACAAATTATGCGCTTGATTTTCGAAACTGCGCGCTCCCCAATATGGCCATTTGCTCGCAAGATCCGGGAACGAGGCAATTTGTTAGCGAGGGGAACGGTTCGGCGCAACTTCGCGCAGTTCGCCGGCCGAAATGATACGAATCCCCTTCCCTTCGGTGAAAAGGATCGATTTCACTGTTTTTGTTCATTCGTTCATTCGTTTATTCGCCCGGGAAACCCTTCGGTACGGAAAGAACGTTGGTTAAAATAATTATTGTTCAATGCGTTGGGTTCGTCGTTACTCGAATATAATTTTATTCGATCGACAGTTCGAATAAGTTCTTCGAATCAAATTGTATTCGATCAATAGTTCGGATAAATTCGTCGAATCAAATTTTATTCGATCAATAGTTCGGATAAATTCTTCGAATCAAATTTTATGCGATCAACAGTTCGAATAAATTCTTCGAGTCAAATTTTATTCGATCAACAGTTAGAATAAATTCGTCGAATCAAATTTTATTCGATCAACAGTTCGAATAAGTTCTTCGAATCAAATTTTATTCGATCAACATTGCGAATAGATTTCTCGAATAAAATTCGATTCGTACGATATTTCGAACAAGTTTCTCGAATCAAATTTTATTCGACTGATCTTTCGACCACGGAGGACTTAATTAATAGATTTATTCTCTGTGATACCTGTTTGACAGGAGAACGTTGCTTCGCGCGTGACTGTCATCACTCACCTGTCATAGTAGTAGTCCCTGCAATCAAAAATACAATGCAACATTAGTTACAGTCATTGTGAAATCACAGTAATAATATTTTACAAAATGATCATTGACTTATAATTGACTCGTTTCTGTCATGAACGTATAATGTACATTTTATATGATATATACAGTTTAATATATGTTATAATGTATATTTAATGTACAGTTTAATATATGTTATAATGTATATTTAATGTACAGTTTAATATACGTTATAATGTATATTTAATATACAGTTTAATATACATTACAATGTATATTTAATATACAGTTTAATATTCATTACAATGTATATTTAATATATAGNACAGTCATTGTGAAATCACAGTAATAATATTTTACAAAATGATCATTGACTTATAATTGACTCGTTTCTGTCATGAACGTATAATGTACATTTTATATGATATATACAGTTTAATATATGTTATAATGTATATTTAATGTACAGTTTAATATATGTTATAATGTATATTTAATGTACAGTTTAATATACGTTATAATGTATATTTAATATACAGTTTAATATACATTACAATGTATATTTAATATACAGTTTAATATACATTACAATGTATATTTAATATACAGTTTAATATTCATTACAATGTATATTTAATATATAGTTTAATATATTATGTTATATTATGTTATGAAGTATATTTAATATACAGTTTAACATACGTTATAATGTATATTTAATATACACTTTAATATACATTATAATATATATTTAATACACATCATAACATATATTTAACATACAGTTTAATGTACATCATAATATATATATTTAATATACAGTTTAATATACATGCAATATACAGTTTAATAAATATTAAATGTACCGTTTAACACGCACTTCATATAAAATATTTAAAAGAAGAACGGCGCGCAGAATTGAACAACGCGGGAAAACGTATCAAAAAAAAAAAAAAAAGGGAAGGCCAGAAAGTTAATAAAAGCGATGCATCCCGCGAATCAAATTTGATTCATTAATTGCCGTTTGACGCACAGGCCGGCCGGACGATTCGATAAATTTTCCGGGAGCATTTCGTCGAAAAACCGCGTGCGTACACCTTCTATTATTTTTTCGTTGTAATTGGGCAAAAGTTTCCCGTTGGAGGCCACACTCGAACGTCGATGCCCACTCCGGCTGCTCCGCCATCCGAACACGATAGAGAGTGTACGAAACTCAATGAAATCGATTTCAGCGGTCGTTTGTCGCGCAACCGGGACAAAATAAACCTCAGAACGGGCGGAACGTAATATTTTTACGTTTTCGAAAAACAGGACAATAGCCCGGCCGCCGCCGGGGACAAAGAAAGAGAGAGGGGGGGCGGTCATGTTTCGCGTTATCAAAGCGAGGAATCAGCGGAATGATGAACGTTTTCGAAGCTGCGCGATCAAAAATTACCAGGAACAATGGACGGGGACGTCAAACGGTTTCGATCAATCCCGCACAAAGGCACGTAAGTGGCGTATGAAAATAAATGGGACTTCGGTTTTCGGCTCTGTTCTTCGTGCGTTTCAACTTAACCAACGTTTTCAGGCAATACCGGGCTCCCTTTTAGTCCGTCCGAAATTCGCCTAAAGCCCTGTCACAACGTTCATGCCACTTTTATCGAAATGCAAAAAAAAAAAACGAAACATCATCGCATTTCTGTCCGCATTTCGCAAACTGATCGGAACAATTTCAATATTTGCCTTCTTTTTCTGCGCATTTTTATGAAACGTCGCGGACGGTAGAAATCCAAAGAATCGAGTTGGTTATTTAGCAGCGTGATTATCGTTCGCTGATCGAATGTATCGTTAAGGCAATTTGTAGTTAAATTAATTTCTAGTAACTTTATGATTTATTTCACTCGTCTTCTAAGACGTAAGTCAAAATTTTGGAAACGTCACTTGCGTCGCCACGATTCTAACCTATTCAATTATTACTGGATCGCAAATCATCGCGAGAAAGTAAATTGCTAACGTTAATTATTAAATAATTAATTTACTAAATTTGTTGTCCGACTTAAGACATTTTTTATGGGCGGTTTTCAGGTTCTTCTAAAATTGAAAACAACGCCAAATGGGAGTTTATTAAAAATTGAAAAGAAAAGTTTAATTATTATAAACAACCTATTATTAAATCATTAAAAATTTATTAAAATATTAACTGTGCGAAATGCTGTGAAAATATATAATTTGTTGATTTTTCTGCAAAATAAAAATTGCCTTTCATCGATTGCAAACAAATGTAGCTAAATGGAACATTCTTTCTGTTTTGCTAGTTCTAATTGATTAACAACAATTCATCGACACTTCAGAATTCTCTTAATATTCTACAAATTGCTCAATTTTGCCATGAACGCATAGAATCCGCGGTCGAGCAATTAGGTTCGTCGGGAAAAAATTCCTGTAGACGAGCCTGTGCACGTTCGATTTCTACGTCCGATAAATGCCGGCTGCTTGGCACATCGATATTTCCAAATTCGTCCTGTTGCCGACTGTCTCATTTGAAATGTCCCTCCCCCACCCCCCTCAGCTTAAGCCCTTCATTTGCAGCAACGATCCAATCCCGGTACAGTCACCGTTCAATCACAGTTTAGTGTTCCTTGAATCAGCCGGAGCGCTCCAGTGTTCACACGTTCCGGTCACGTCTCAGTGCACAGAATAACATTTGAACGGCGATGGAATCGTGACTAGACCGCCGCTGCAAGTCAAATTCGACGGGTCCGACATTCATTTTCTCCCTATCTTCCGAATCCGATACTTTAAATGCATTCGGCCTGCTTTTTCCCCCCCGCCGGGTTCCTTTTCGCCCGTGCTTCCCGCACTCGTGCAATTTGTACGTGGCCGGTTCATTGTCGCAAATCGCGGGCGCCGCGAGTTTTCGCAACGTAATAAACAAATAAACGCCGCGCGCCGTTGCTCGCCCTTTGTCGGCCGTCGGATTTCTACGGAATCGCGGGCGTTTGTTTGCCAAAGGGACTTGTGCAGAGTCACGGACTGTATTTCGCAGGTAAAAACCGAGTAGAAAGTGAAAAGTAAAAAAGAGCAGAAAGATTTTAATATCAGCGTATTTGCGTGTACTATTTCCCGCGTGTCAACATTGGCGCAGTAAATTTTCTGTTTAGTTCCATCTGCTCGCAACAAATGCACCAAATTTTTCTGACTGCGGCTGTTCGTTCTTATTTTCCACGTAAATCGAGTTAACGTTCAATGAGCAGTCGCAGTTCGAAGTAGTGAAAGAATTATAACATATAATTAATATATATATTAATATTAATATATATATATTATGATATATATAATATATTATATTTATATTTATATTATATATATTATATAATATATATAAACATATATATTAATTATATATATTAATTATATATAACATATAAAAGTCTGTTCATTTTTTGTATATAAATTAAATTAATGTTCAACGAACAGTTGCGGTCCAAAATAATAGAAAGATCGAAACAATTAAAACAATTTCGAAACGTCAATGTATTATTTGTTAAAATGATCGAAGAATTAAATAACTTGTAATCGAGTTTATATTTCTTGCGATTAAGCAAGCTTTATTTTGCGAATTAATTCGGCCCGTCAATTAGAGTTTTCAAAAAATTCGAAAAATACAATTCGATTCGATTTATATTATTTAATATATATTATATATTATATGCATATAACACAGAGATCGCAGCAGCATCTTGCAACGGTTTTCGCAATGATTTCGCTTGGATTGCAGCGTAAGTTACGGGTTGATTGCAGATTCCATGCGTTTATGGTGTCTACGATTTAACAGAATTTAATGGCGCTTTTATTTGATTTACTCTGTCCGGTGTCGAGTCGGCCGGTTATCATTGGCCGGCGCACAGTGATGCGAGTCAATTTCTGCCTCGTCCGCGATATCGAACTGCAGCGAAAAGGTTTTCGCGGAACTGCGCCGCCATTATATCGATTGCTTAAATGTTTACCGGTAACGGTTGTTGCAATTTTAATGCGCTTTCGTTAGTGTCTTGGTTCCCCTTCGAGAAACAAGTATTTGCACCACGGAAATTGTTGATCTCCAAGTTTTCACGTTGCGTCGGTACGGCAAATGAAAATGCATTAGGCCGCGGAAGTTTACGCGAGTTTACGCTTCTGCTGGGAAACTCGCGGGCACACGAATCGAATCAAATATTCTCTGCCGCGAATTTCGCTAAGCATCGACTTATAATATGATATAATATTATATAATATAATTTGAATATAATATGAATATGATATGAGTAAAATATGAATTTAATATGAATATGATATGAATATAATACGAATATGACATGAATATGATACGAATATAATTCAAATATAATATCAATATAGTAGAATTATTAGTAGCAAACTGTGGACTGGATATATTATGAATATAATATGAATATGACATGAATATGATATGAATATGATACCAATATAATACAAATATAATATGAATATAGTAGAATTATTAGTAGTAAACTGTGGACTGGATATATTATGAATATAATATGAATATGATATGAATATGATATGAATATGATACGAATATAATACAAATATAATATGAATATA